TATTCTACAAGTGCTATAATCAGCAATGATTTTTAAACTTAGGAAAAAGGACAGTCATTACTCTGTGCTTTATAGCTTATCAAATCATGATTATGCCATAGGAAAGAGCATGCAATCAAATTATAAACTTAGCAACAAGAACCAAAAGCCAAGATTTGTTTGAATTTCTGAAATTTTGAATAATATGTTGGAGTTTCTGAGTAGGAAGTAAAATGAATCTCTGAGAATGACTGTCTTTTCACACATCTTCTGTTTGCTGGGAGGAGGAGATCAAGAAATGCTAACTTTCATAATTCACTATGCATAAAAAAAATAATCGAGACAGATTTCTGTACAAGCCCTGTGTCATGGAAAATACCAGGGTACCTTGACGTGAAAAGTATAGATTGAGGGCAGATGAATGGGTCAGTAAACTGTGGGTGTTTACAACTAGTGTCTTGAAAGAGGATACTCTTAACTATGAGATGGCATTCTACCTTAAAGACATTACTTTTTCTTGTGAGCAACCCAGTCACCTGTGAGAGTTTGCAGAACACTAGGAATTAGCAGGTCTGCAATCTTCAGATGAATGTCACCTGGATTTTTTATATTGGTGAATATGCAGCTGAGCGTGAATATACCTTCTATTCATGGGGAGATGAAAGGCTTGGGGTATAATGAGAACTGAAGGCATGAATGCTGTCTTTTTTCACGATGGAAGACATATTTCGAAATAAAAAGGCCAATATACTTAGGGTACCGACACAGTAATTAAAACCTGTTGCTTAGCCATTCTTTATAAATAGGCAAATACTGTCTGTTAAGTGCTTGTTACAGAAGTAACAGTAAGTAGATGGTACTTCCAAGGTCATTAATATAAATGTTATACTGATTTCTCTTTAATCAGCCTCATGAACCATTCTGATGATTTCTGTATAAACAACCGCACTGGAGAAATCACCCTCAGCAGTAACTTGGACCATATCACAGCTGACATAGTTGTTACACTGATAGTTATCGCTACTGATCATGGAGTTCCTCAGCTTGCATCAAATGGTGAATGATGTCTTTTCACCTTTTTTTTTTCCCCTTCCTACATAAAAGTAACCTTTGCAAACATTGAAATTTGAAATTAACACCATCACTGTTGAATCAAAGTGAATTAGGGCTAGAATCCATGTTACATTTCAGAAATGACGAAATGATGCTTTTTATCCTTTGATTTCTTCCTAGCTGATCATACTAACAGAAAGCCTGGTTTATTAATCCTGGTTAGAAACACATTTTTTGTATTTCTTGGAGTGGTGCTTATGGTACAAAACCCAGGACTTCATAGTAGTAGCCACTCTAAAAAGATGCATTAAAATAATATTGATAATGTGTGTTTCTCTTTCAGTTTTCCTTTATTTTCTTAGAATTAGAAACATTTAACAGATTAGAAACTGGCAAGTAACCCTCAAACAAGTTTCTGCTCTCAAAAAATATTCAGTCACATGGTATTTTCTGTAACTTTGTCATGTATTTCTAGGGGCTAGCTTTGATTTATCTGAACAGGAGAAACAACTGATTTTCTTAAAATAGGATGAGTGGCCACAACAGAATTTGCACTTATATGATATATCCCTTCTCTATTGTTACAAAGCAATTTAGTGTAAGATTTTTAAGGAGTGGGAAACACCTGCATATCCCATTAACTTCAAATTAGTGATCCTTGCCCTCCTATCTTACTGAAGCAACACTGCTATGATCAGTGAGGTGGGGTTATTCTTGAACTTTAGTTAGGTATAAAAAGCATCATGTTTTATATGTTACATATTAACCCTTTGTCGTGGTTTAACCCCAGCCAGCAACTAAGCACCACGCAGCCGCTCACTCACTCTCCCCCCATCCAGTGGGATGGGGGAGAAAATCAGGAAAAAGAAATAAAACTCGTGGGTTGAGATAAGAATGGTTTACTAGAACAGAAAAGGAGAAACTAATAACGATAATGCTAACACTAATAAAATGACAACAGGAGTAATAAAAGGGTTGGAATGTACAAATGATGGGCAGGGCAATTGCTCACCACCCGCCGACCGACACCCAGCCAGTCCCCGAGTGGTGATTCCCCACCCCCACTTCCCAGTTCCTAAACTAGATGGGACATCCCATGGTATGGAATACCCTGTTGGCCAGTTTGGGTCAGGTGCCCTGGCTGTGTCCTGTGCCAACTTCTTGTGGCCTTCCAGCTTTCTCACTGGCTGGGCATGAGAAGCTGAAAAATCCTTGACTTTAGTCGAAACACTGCTTAGCAACAACTGAAAACATCAGTGTTATCAACATTCTTCGCATACTGAACTCAAAACATAGCACTGTACCAGCTACTAGGAAGACAGTTAACTCTATCCCAGCTGAAACCAGGACACCTTTCTTACTATTGATTTTATTTTTTTCTTCTTATTCTTCTTTCCTACATGCCAGTTTCTGTCATTTTCTATTAGTTTCTCAAAAATTTAGGGAAATACAGTGCAGATCATGATTATTTTAGCAGCAACTTCACTATTTTAATTTCTTTTCTCTCATTAGCCTCTGTGACTCTCTACTTGCTGGTAAATGACACTGACTTCGGACTGACTTTTGATAGCTCCAGCTACGAGTTCAGCATTCAAGAACATGAAAAGTCAGGGACTGCTGTTGGCTCTGTGAAGGCCCTGACTGGAAGCATAGCTGTACAAGTAGTGTACTCTCTGAAATCTCACAGTGACAAGTTCTCTGTTAGTGACCAGGGAGACATTGTGGCTCTCACCAGGCTAGATCGAGAAGAAGATGACCTATACAGCATCATTGTAGAAGCTGTTGATTCTGTGGTGCCACCCAATACAGCTGTTGCTTTGGTACAGTATACTGCATTTTAAAATATTTTTTGAAAAGGAATATAAGATATTTGTTATATCTCAACATAAAGATAATATAAATAAAAATATATTAAAAATCAAGCAATATCATAGAATCATTTAGGTTGGAAAAGACCTTTAAGATCATCAAGTCCAACTGTTGACCTAGCACTGCCAAGTCCACCACTAAACCATGTCCCTAATATCCAGATAAGTGTCATCTGTTATGTAAGCATGAGGATTTTGAGAGCCTTTTATTTAATTTCCTTTTTTTTTTTTTGCCTGAGGAGATACTACCATCTTGAAATATTGTCAGCTTCACAAATTGCATCACTTTCTAAGAGTTCCTTTGTGAACAACCCATAACCAGAGAAACTGATTAACGCTGAAACTGATTCTGTGCATAGTTCTGTCAAATGCATGAGGTAGATGAGCCCAAAAGCCTCAGATTATTAAACCTGCTCATCTCTTCCAGCTAGAGTATATGTTATCTCTCTTGTAGCAGCTGAGAATAAAAAAAATAAAAATGTTGAGATGCTGAAGTTGTGAAAATGGTCAAATACTGAAAAATGCTGAAGTTCTTATGTATCCCTTTGGTTTGGGGGGGGGGGGTTGTTTGTTTGGATTTTTTTCTTATAGGCTTCCATAGACTGAAATGAATCAAAATTCTCCTTTGGATACTGTTTCTACAGCTCAAATATGTGTCTTTTTTTTTTTTTTTTTTTTTTTTTTTTTTTTTTTTGTTGTTGTTTTTACATATAGGTAACTGTGAGAGTTAATGACATCAATGACAATCCTCCAGTTTTCTCAACATTGATTCAAACTGAACTATCAGCTCCTGAGAATGCAGATACTCTAGACTTGGGCATATTTTCTGCTACTGATCTGGATACAGGAGTTAATGCACTTATAAGCTATTCTCTGCAAGATGATTTTGCTGGAATGTTCCATATTAACAGTTCTACTGGCAAGCTGATGACAAAAAAACACTTAGACAGAGAGAAGATGGACAGTTATGAATTGAAAATAATAGTAAGTTGACAAATTTGATGCAAGTTCACAAAATTCTCAACATAAAAAAGAGAAAATACCAAATCATCACAAGAAAAACACTTAATCTTAGTGAATTCCATTAGAATTCATTAATGAATTTTGACCATTTGTTATGTTTTGCACCCAGAGCTTTGTTTTCTGCTGTTTTAATTGGTATTAGTGAATAAATGACCCATGAACATCAGAGAGCTTTTTTCTGCTGTTTTAATTGGTATTAGTGAGTAAATGACCTGTGAACATCAGATTTTAAAGGTCATAGTCAGTGATAGCTTACTGCGAAATCTGCGAAGCATTCCTGAGTCCATTTTAGACCATGCAGCTGCCATACTGCTGTATTGTTTTTACAGCTTTGCCAATCCTTATTGTTTGTCCCCTTCCCTCATTTTTTCATTTTTCAAAATACGCGTACTTAGACCTTTTTAATATAGATTTCCAAGTTAAAAAAAGAAAAAAAAGTTAAAGCATGAAGTTTCATCCAACATTCATGTGCGTATCTATTTATTCTAGCTGATTTCATTCATTTTTACTGCTATTGATCAGATAAATTATTGTGCATACAAAGAAGTGTTCCAGCACTGGCCATCATGTACAAATATACTTTAAGGAGATCTTTACTGCTAAAAAATAATTTAACAGGTCAAGGAACTTGTGGAACATACTCAGGACAGCAAGAAAGCATACTAAAAATTGAACAGTGTCTTCTGAAGATGTTAGAATTAATAAAAGTGGACACTTTTAAAGACTAATTGAAAATTGTGTATATGTACGTATAGATTAGAACCTTTCTATGGCAGATGTTTGTGCAATGTAAAACTGACTGTGAATTTGCCACATACTAGCTACTGTTTACGGCTAGCTTTGTAGACACTCCAAACCCTCAAAATGCAAGGGATTTCCTTATTCTTTTAAATGCTACATCACAGATATGCATCTGTATACCATGGTTTTATGTTGATTAGTGCCACATTTCATCACATGACACATTTGACCTGGATCCAGGCTTGAGCTTTTGATTAATTGTTCATGAAATGAGGCAGAGCATGTGATACGGTGAGGATACTAGCTGCAGTAAGACACGCAACACCTAATCAAGTACAGGGCTAAAGCAATGTCATTGGGTGATAACTGGTCCAGCAGAAAGTCCTCTGAGACCAAGTTTCACAATTTTTGGAACAATATTGAACTGGTAAAATAAGTTTGTATCAACGTAGTGCTGCATTTAATGACAAGTTGTTTCTTCAAAGGCCACCGACTCTGGCACACCATCGCAATCTGCAAGCTTAGTTCTAAACATCGCTGTAGAAGACATGAATGACAACCCACCAGTGTTCCCCCAGATATCATACTCCGTGACCGTAAAAGAGAATGAGCCTCCCCATGTGGTATGTGGCAATAAGAATAAATAGGCTGTTCTGCAGTTGTTTTCTTTATGTAAACTTGGAAGTGGTAGTAATCTATGATAGCTGTGCATTGGTAAACAGTTTTTTTTACTTGGTGGAGCCTATAAAATCACACAACATGTTTGTTTTATATGACAGTGGAGTACTTATCCTGCTGACTCTTCCTAAAGCTCTCTTTGTGCTGCTCCCCCTTTCCCTCCTGTCCCCAGCAGTGATGCCACACTGCATGGATCTAGTTTTCAGAGGACCTATGGGCAACAGGTTTTAAAGATGCTGTAGGTGTTGTGCATACATCCAGCATCCCCCTGTTCTCAAGGTTTTCTGTCTTCTCCCAGCATATCCATTTCTGGCTCCATATCTGCCTTGCAGATATGAACTAATGGTTTAGAGGAATCAAGGGAAGGCTGTTACCAGCCCTGCTATATGGCTATGTCAGTATTCTAGCAATGCCATTAATGACCATATGAGTAACTCAGTAAACACTATATAGTTAAATACCAGTCTTGTGTGTATGTTCTGCCACTCTCTTCATTCTGCTCTAAGCCTGGCAGGTTTTGGTTTTAGTTTTTTTTTCTCATTTAGATTTTGAGTGCTGCAGCCACAGATGAAGACATAGGGTACAATGCCATTATTCATTACACCATAATTGGAGAGACTTCTTCATTTCATGTTGGAGAACTTTCTGGAAATATTACAGCTCTTCAACCTCTGGACTATGAAAGTCGTTCCCAGTATACATTTATTCTGAAAGCTTTCAATCCTGGACAGCCAGATCTCCAGGACACAGCAAACATTACAGGTAGCTCTAGTTTACCACAGAAAATTTACCTTTGTTTCCCTTAGGGAATATTTCAGCATGTGTAATTATGAAGCATAAAGATAGCTTTCAGTAGTAATACAGTCTGCTAAAGTAAATGATCAGAAATGATGATGTGACCTTTTCACTATAGCCAGATGAAAATTTTCTCAAAAAATATTTAGCTTGTCAAAAATTAAGATTTTTCACGCAAACTGACATTTACTTACTTCAACGTATTCACAAATTTTTCTATGGCGTTTTTTGAGTACCTATTGATGTTTTGATTGAAAAGGTTTCCAAAAACATAATTCAGTTCTTTTTGTCCTTGTTTACAGAAGGTCTGCTTCTAGGGTGGTAAAAAAAAAAAAGTTTGACAATGATTTTTAGTGTTGTTAAAATAACAGTAGTTGATTGCCGTTGTTTTTTTCCTTAAAAAAAAAACCAAAACAAACAAAAAAACCACACAAAACTTTTTCCCCAACACAACATAAAAGATTTCTGTGAAACTAGTATCCTAGTTTTTGGTCAGCCCTACTTTTGATCAGTATGACTGAAAGTATTGGTTTGTTTATTACTTCTTGTTCTGTGTTATTTATGTTGCTGTACAGCCAGCTTCACTAATTGTGGACCACAACCCTATTGTGCCGGGTCATGTACAAATATAAAATTAAGCAATCCTGTCTCACAATGCTTGCAATTTAAGCCAAAGACTAGAGATACTAGATGAACATGGACACAGAGGGAGCCCAACAAAACAGTAAGATGACATTATTCATGACACCTAGTAGCAACAGCATGCTAGCCAAAAGTGCAGCCATTGTGGGAAACCATTGCTTGAGCAGTAAATAATTTAATCCACAAAGGCAAGCATTTTGAAGTACAGAAAACAAGATTGCCATCTGGTTTGAATTGAAAGAGCTCCAACTCCATTCAGAGGAACTGTGCTGGTTTATATTAGCTGAAGAAACAGCTTGTAACCATTTAGGTGAAACATGTTTACACTCAGACCTTCTTTTCTTAGTTACCGTGGAAGATGTTAATGAAGAAGGACCCATATTTGACAAACCCTCATATTACCAGATCCTTCTAGACAATTCTACAGCTGGCACGCTGGTAGTAGATATCAACGCGAGAGATGAAAGCAAGAGTTATGATGAAGATATTTTCTACAATATTTCAGGTATGTTAGAAAAAAATCTTATGGGTGTTTATTACTGGGGTACCTGCATACTGCTAAACTAAGCTGCATGACACAAGAATGAGAGATAATGGTCATAAATTGAAATGGCATGTTCTGACTGGATATAAGGGGGGGAGGGAGGGGGATTCCTCTGCGAGGATAACCAAGTACTGGGACAGGTTGCCCAGAGAGGCTGTTGTTGGAGGTTTTCAGCACTTGACGGATGAAAGCCTTGAGCAACCTGCTCTGAATTCATTTGTGACCCTGCTTTGAGCCAAGAGGTTGGACTAGAGGCCTCACAAGGGCCCTTCCAGCACAAACAATTGAGTTGATGCAGACGCAGAATCGAGAGAGGCCAGGTGTCTTGCTCCAAATCACATATACAGATTTTCAACCCGTGTCTCTTAAATCCTGGGCATATAATTCAGTTGCTTGTCCCTGCTGGCTCCATTGAACATCTCCAACACTTGTTTTTCTGTCTTCAGGTGGAAACTCAGAAGGCCTCTTTGGTCTTTCCAGCACCACAGGAGTACTCATGTTAACACGAGACTTGTCCAAACAGACTGTTCCCCTGTATTACTCCTTGATGGTCACTGCTACAGATTCGGGTCTGCCCCCTCTTTCAACTTCTGTAAAGGTACTAGAATTTTTACCTTAGTGTTTACTTGTGCAGTTTATTCCCCAGATTGTTTTATTCTAAACTGAGTGTAACTACACCAGGAAATGGGCATTGGTGAGGCAAAACTATGCAAAACAGGAATCACAATGCCAGAGTCCCACTTCTGTTTCAGGAACAAGATACGAGACGGTAACAGTTACAAAGTTATGCTGCTATAGCAATTGCTGGCACACCACCTGTCATTGTTTTGATCATTCCATTTCAGAAAAGAAAGACAGAAGCTCTAGACTGTGAGGGAGGAAGATTAGAGGAGTGGAGGCTTCTGTGCAAGGTCAAAGAGTGAGACAATTGGAGGGGATGTAATGGAAGTATGTGATAGAATAAACAGGAGACAGCAAATAAGGTGTTCCTGTTTATTTTCCTATAATATAAGAAAAAAATTCTAAATTGAAGACTGAGAAATGTAAATATGATAAAATAAATATTTTTTTTACACAGTGCTTATTGCTGGCTGGTAATCTTTTGCCACTAAATATCACAGCTTAGCAGAATTTTAAAAAAAAGTCTAGAAATGTATGTGGATAAAGACATGTAGAAAATTATATTCAACAGAACCTTAAAATCTAGACTTATGAGCCATCATTCTTCAGAGCATTGGACAGCAGCTGTCTGGCATCATTTAGAAATGAATTATCTTTATTTTTGTGAAGCAGTAGGCATTATTTATTTACTGCTTGTCACCTTTTTTTCATACATAAAGTCAGTTATAATATTTTTAGAATACTGTACTTAAAAGCTGCTGCTCTGGTCAGACATTCTGCAGTGGAAGAATTTGTTGCAAATACAGATCAGTACCCCTCTTTCTCTTTCAGAGCTGTTTAGCTAGACAAGTAATTTGAAATGTGCTGTATGCAATGAACTGGAATCCCTCTCTATATTTAGGAAAGCATACAGGTGAACGTAAACTGATGAGGTTGCTTGCATTTTTCACTAACCTTCGCTGCCTTCTAGGCACTAATGTGTCAAACTCAGCATGCAGCAGTCATAGGCTTTTTCTTACTGACAAAATTCTGGACTTCTGCTGTTGCATACCTCAATAGAGAAGTCTGCTAAACCTGAAAATTAACCCCTGTGGTCATGTCCTTTTCTCTGCAGGTGTCAGTAACAATAGCTCCAATCAACATTTCATTCCCGGTGTTCTCTGAAGCAGTCTATCAGCCAGCCCCTCTGAGCGAGAAGACACTGCCAGATACATCTGTTGTACAGATCAGTGTGTTGTATAAGCTCCCTGTGATATACAGTATTGTATCTGGAGATGGAAAGGGTAAGCTCTTTATGTGAAATAACAAGGAAGTGGGTGTGTTAAACAACTAGTGCTGCAGAACACTTAGCTTTTAGGTTGTTTCTTCTCTCTGTCCTTTTGCTCTTATCTCAGTTCTACAGCCATTAATATTGGATGTGTATTAACCAGACGAACAAATTTGATATGGATCAGGCGTGGGCACATGGTTGAATTTCTGTCAGATTAGCTAGAGCCACATGATACAGAGCTGACTGCACCAGCTGTAAGCTTTTTTATGTCTGCTGCAAGAAGATCAGGTGATACCTAGTCAGGCATAAAGTTACAGTGACTAGAGAAACAATACATAATACAGCATAAAGACTGCTGGTAGAAAAACTAACTCAGCGACATTTTCTTAACAAATGTGAATGCGTAGAGTAAGTTTACATGGGATCAAGTGGATCGGTGCTTTGTCACATGTCTTTTTTTACTAAACATAGAGCTGATTTTATTGAATAATCAAACATAGCCATTTTGTATTTCTTTTTTTGTAAAGTGTTTTGTATGAAGTTGTGGTCACCTTGATGTTATTTGCAGAATTCCTCATCTTCAGTAAGAACAGGACTTACAATAAAATAATTTCTGATTGAAACGGGGACAAATAATCTCTGACAGTTTCAGAGGAAGGTGAAGACCTTCTGACTGAAGAGTGGTGGAGGGAACTTCTCCCCTTTGGTTCCTATCTGACCTTCTGAATTATTTGTTTTTGTTAATTACAGCCCTGGATATATCTGACATTCTTGTAAATCCATGTTGAATTTTATTTTGTTCTTTGAAGAGCACTGTAACAAATGATATTCATATACATATGTATAGTTTGCATTGAAGGGTTTATATCTTCAGTTTTAATTAAAAATCATAAAGAGAATAATTTCTGGTTTTTTTGGTTTTTTTGTTGTTGGTTTTTTTTTTTTAAACAGGGTATTTCACTATCAATTCATTCACTGGTATCGTAAGAACAAGGAAGAATTTGGAATGGCAAGATTTTCCAGTCATTTTCAATGTGAGAGCAGCAGATTCATCTAATGCTAGCATATTTAATGAAGTTTCTGTGATTGTGGAAGTTACTGATGAAAATGATTTCCCTCCGGTTTTCCCATCCTCTCTACTAGAAGAAAGATTGGAAGAGGTAAGAAAATGTCATCCAAACCAAATGACAAAAATAAATCCTCAAAATAATAATAATAATAATAATAAAACCGTTTGGGGGGTAACGAGTAAAGAAGTAAATGTTCTGGAACTGGACAGGCTTGCCATTCTGCTCTGCCATATGATGTTTTAAGGTTTATTTTAAGCTGAAAATCCCAATACACAAAGAGAATGGTCTAGAAGTGTGGACATATTGAAGGACAAGTGAATCTTCTGCTAATGAGGGGCTCCATGAAGGAAAAACAGCCACTCAATTTTGCATATTACACAGAGAATATTCATGTGCATTCAAAATCTAGTGGATGTGCTGGGCACCTCACAGACTCTACCTCAGCCTTTTGTAACGGAGCTTCATAGGGAAAAGTAGCAGGCAAAAGTCTCTAATTTAGCAACATTTCTCCTCTTGCTCAGGTACAATCTGTTGTGATTATTCCTGACACAAAGTAATCAGTGGCAGAAAGCAAGCCAGATTTCAGTCTGTGGCTGTTACATTGTGATAGCCTACAAAAAAAGCCACAGCATTTAATTATGCAAAAGCATCTAACTCAACATTTCACTCTTTAATTTTCAAACAACACTTTTCACACTTTAATCTGCAAGCTACTTTTTTAAAAAGCAGCACAGTGACCATGTTTATATTTTATATAGTGCATACCTTGCCTTTGAGATTCCCAGCTGATTCACACACATTCTCTTTTAACAGCCACAACTGATTTAAAATCTAGTCCATTTCTAACACTGAGCTAAATATAGGTTCAATTATTACACCTATTTTTAATGTTCCCAGTTAGTTTAATGGAGAAGAGTTAGAATCACATTTCCCAACCTTAAAAATTGATTTTGATGTGAAATATTTACACAGTAGGAATTGCTGGATGCCCTGTTGGATCAAATAACTTCAGATCAGGTCTCAAATGGCCATCAAGTGAAATGCTGATATTTACTGTCAATCTTGATGCAAATAACATTCTTAAAAAGGAAGAAACATATTATTTATTTTGAAAACAGTAATTACTAGCCAAATAGTGTTCAGAAAGAAACATGATTTTGAAGTTGAGAACATCCATTGAGCTCCATAGGAGTAGAGGCTGTTAAATATGAATAATTCCTCAACAGCAAGTCAGATGCTGTTTGAACAGCATTCGGCCTGTTTGAAATCATGGTGATTTTTCTTCCTGAAGCTTGCTGCTGGGGGGGGGGGGGAGGAATAGCTCTTTTCTGTAAATTAGAGAAAACGAGAGATTCTCTTACTGTGCTGAATGAGTTGTATAATTTTGATTTTAAAATGCCTATACTATTGTAAGTGTATGCAGTATCTGTTACTTCCCCTCTTTCACATAATTCAGCTAAGCAGTCTCTGACAGCCTAAATCTGTTCTTCATCCATAGAATTTACCCGCTACTCAGATCGTCCAGCTGAAAGCTCAGGATAGTGATACAGGTAGTAATGGTCTCCTAACATATGGCATTCTTAGTGGAGACAGACTAAAATTCAGGATTGATGAAGCAACCGGAATTCTTTATTCCACTACCTCCTTTGATTATGAAGAGGAACCTACGGAGTATCAGGTTTGCTTTAGGTTTCTCAAGTCTTCATTATTCAGAACTCTTTATCTTTCCCTTGGATAACAGGTGACACTTTTGCTTTTGTTTAGCTTGATATTGCTTGAACATTTTATGCATTGTTTTCGAATGTGAGCATCTTAAGATGTGATGCATTATTAAAGCAAGATACTGCCTCTAGACTATAATGAAATTCAAGCAAGGCTCATTGTTCACCTGTTCTACAAACTCTCAAACGCTTCAGCACGTGAATAACTAACTTCACAATGACAGCTCATGTATTCAGTGCTGTCTGTTTGCTTGAATTGGTACTGGACTGAGATCCTGCAGATGCGATTCTTGGTTAATCTTCTTTATTATTGCTGCCACTGCTGGATATTTTTTATGACCTTAATTTGTCTCAAGCAAAAATATTGGTGAGTTTTTTGGTTCTATATAGAAAGAATTTTTTTATTGACCAGATAGTGCTTAAGTTTTCAATAATCATTTTGAGGTGAATTCAGGATTTGACTTTACATTTCTAAGAATACTCCAAAGTTTAAAATTCACCAAGATTTTTTTAATCCTTCTGCAAGTATCTTTTTGTATGATTTCTCATTACTAATAATTGTGTAACTTATAGGTTGTGATATATGCTGAAGATGGTGGAATCCCTGAGAAGAAAAGAGGTTACTGCACAGTTGTCGTAAAGATCATTGATGTTAATGACTGGCCACCTGTCTTTGACCCAGTGACTGAATTCAATGTAAATGAAAATGCGCCTGTGGGATTCATAGTTGGAAAAATCACAGCAACGGACAGAGACACAGGAGATAATGCCTTTGTTCTATATAGCCTTACAGGTAACAAAGAATTCTCTCACTGCACTGGAACAAGCATCACTTTGTTGTTTATACTGTTATGAGCATAAATAGCATTATGTGCGTTATCTCCTAACCCCTTTCCACATAAGCCAAGAAGGTTCACTTTCACTTGGTTTGGTATTTTACTAATTTATGCTTATACAGCTTTCAAACTGATTGAGTCGGAACTTCTTTTGCAGAAACTACAAATTGTTGTGCTTTTAATCACACTCTTAATTCTGTTAAAAATGAGCTTTTAAAAAAATCTTTAGCTACTTGACTACTGTAGCTACATTCAGCAGGAGTAATTTTAATGCAAAAAATGCCCACAGCTTTTCTGAATGAGGAATAATGGTCTAGGGCCTAATTCATCCCTGCCTTGTAGAACCCATTGTGCCTGCACCAGGTATTAAATGCTGTGAAATTAAGCCTCTCAGCCTGTGGACTGTGAGCATTTCACAGCTACTAGGAGCAGATGTAAATGGTTATCACAAGTGTGTCAGGGACCCAATTCACTATTGAGGGCTGCCTGGAGAGCTGTCTTCTTCACCCTTGTGCTGGACACCTTTACCTCTGCAGCAGAAGTGCCACAACAGACAGCAGTTCACCTACTCTGCTACCTCAGATCTCTGCCCAGGCTATTAATATAAAGTGCCTTCAATTTCATTTTAGATTAGTGTGCCAGCTTGTGAACGGCAGTGACTGAGAGCTCTGATTCGTGCTTCCTGTCACATTTAACTGTGGTAGCTGATGGCGTTACAGTTGAGAAGAGCGTTCCTTTTGCCACTGCCCTAAATCTGACAGAGATGGAGATTAGACCCTTCTGGACTAAAGCCTGCAAGAGTTGAAATAGTTGGTTTTGTTGTATGGACCATCAAGAGCAATGTGTATACACTTTATATGTTTTCAGAGTCTTTTATTTCAAACATGCATACAGGTGTTGAGATGGCTTTGGACAAGGGTGGCCAAACCCAGTAAAAGTCACTGCGAGGTCTTTTGGCACTCAAACTGACTTCTCTTTAGATCTGTGTGCCACGCAGTCCACCTTCATTAGAGACAGAATAAATCCAGTGCCATCTCCTCTTAGAGATCGTGGCAGAAGCACTGCCTTGTTAGAGTGCTTCACAACTGTTGCAACCAGCAAATGTGAGGCTGAACATACAGAAGGTCAGAGGACTGTAAAAGTGCCTGGGGACACCTCTAGTCTGTAAGAGTTGCACAGGCTTGGAGGAACTTGCTTCCAGAGATCCACCCCAGAACTCCAACACGCTGTCCATCATCATCTGTGTGCCTCAAGCACTATTACTTTTTGAGTGTGACAGATGTATCTGCAAAACTTGTTAATCCATTCTGTTGGCTCACATTTCAAATGCTCATCCACTCAAAATATTTTCTGTTTTTCTTCTACGTTATCTATATGATATTTAAAAAATTCTTTTAATGAGCTCAAGACACAAGTAAACATATAATTTAAGAGTGTAGTTAACTATGTGCTTCTAAGATGTATTAATTGATAATGCATCTTTAAATGTACCTCAGGTGGTGGAGGGAATATATTTGAAATTGATGAAATACATGGCAACATTAAGATAAAGAACTCTCCAGACTATGAAACCATGAATAAATACAACCTTACAGTGAATGCAGTCAACGATAAATCTGCCCCCTTCCATCAGGTAAAAGACCATTATTGTAATGAACAGTGACTCTTCTATTCAGAGTGGATTTTGAACTAGTGGGAGGGAGATCTATCAAAGACATTTATTGTGCTGAATAAGGTAGTCACCTAATCTTGTTTAGGGTCAGACTTTTGCGACCTTTGTCCCTGTTGAGTAGTATTTATACTCCATAATTAGTTGAAATACTTCAAAATCATGCAACCCTGAATCATTTGCAGACTAACCTGTGCTGGGGAACTGGAATTCTTGCCTACTGCTGTTAGTACTGTAAGTGCCATGATAATTTTTCATGAGAGAAAAAGTAATTTTCAGCAAATTGTTCTAGTTCTTCTGTATTTCTTTTATTTGAAAACATTACATGCTTATTTAACAGAACTAGAACACCTGTGGTTCCCTTAACTGCATCTAGCAGCAGCAGTTGTACGTGTTGGCCTCCTGAACACATCCTTTAGACACCTTTCAAGAAGTAGAATCCTACTGCAACATTGAATTTCTGCCTCTCATATTCAAATCCTGTAGTGATCTCTGTTGAGTTCACAACATTAAACCTAACACAATGTTTTACTACAGCATTTCAAAGTCTAATTTATACTTTTTGTTGCATATGCAAATAACAAAAAAAAATCACTAAATAAGACATTCTAAATATTCTAAAATGCATTAAACCATTTTGTTTTCTAGGCAACTACTCATGTCACTGTTCTAGTGATTGATGTGAATGATAATGCTCCAGTATTTGCTCAGGATTCCTATTCTGCTTCTATAAACATGATTAATCCTGTAGGGGCTCATGTCATAACTGTGAGCGCTACTGACAAAGATCAGGTAACTACTCCTGTTTTATTTTGACACTGCTTTAAGCTGCAGCCCAAATATATTTTTTCTCCGTTCTCTAGGCATGAAATACCACATGTAGCAGAAAGTGAATTATGATTGACTAACAGCACTGGGAATTGGAAATTAGGACTTCTGATGTTTCTGCCTTGACACTAATGTACTCCCTGTCTTTGGGCATGTTTCTTCAGCTATATTTGCCTTAATTTTCCCCCTTATTATATGCACTCATACTGGTCTTTCAGAAGGATACAAGGACTGAAGCAATTTAGTGTCTGTGAAGTTATCTGAACTTCTGAAGTAGAAGAATCTGTAAAAGCTAAACATCATATAGCTGGCTTGAACATGGAAGTGTCTGCTTACCAAACACCTCTGAAGCATGGTATCCCAGCTAATTCTCTCTGTCCCCATTTTTTAAAGTGATTTTGTTTGATATATCTGTACTGCACCCATCAAGTAGTATCCAGGCACTGGCAGAGATATCCAGTAGTCAACCAGATCACCATGACAACATCACTACTAATTATATCATTTAAAAGATGAAACATCTAGAAGTGACAACAAAATAGGTGTAGCAGGTGCTTTCCTATTTCTTCACACATAACTTTTGTTAAAATAGCTGCAGCTGTGGTATATTGCTGCAAATAATCTAACAGCCCCTTTTTAAAATCATCCTTCTCAATGATTTTACATAAAAAGTGAAATTGCTTGTGAAAGTTGCTGGACTCTGTGAGATCTGCATTAAGACCCTAACGAAACTCACCCTTCAGATAACATGTCTGGTCCTGTGCTGTGCAGAGTGGCGCTCATCCTCCCTGTGACACCCTTTCAGGATTCTGGAGCAGAGTCCAGTAGTGAAATTATTAGACTTTGTCTCTATTCCTCCCTGTTCCTGAAAGAATTATAAATCCACAGATTACTTAGTGACAACAGATGTTCATAGTAGGGTTTAATCCTGCTGCTGCAGACCCATGGAAGAACAGAATACATTGCTTTTCAGAAATACAGAGCAAAGTGCAAAAGAGCAAACCCTAAGGGTTTGTCAGAATGGCTTCTCTCAGGGAAGTGAAATGATGTGCATAGAGTAAAATGTGTCCAACTCTCCTGTGGCAGGCAGGAATAGGTCTTACCCTCATAGCACTGGGGAGGCTGTGCTTCTCCTCAAGGTGTGAAAAGGATCCAAGGGACTTTATCTTATTGTCATTGACATCACACCTTTAGATGACTTCTTCGCTACTCTGACTGTCCCCCTCTACAGGTGTTCTTAAATTATTTTCATTAGCAATCTTTTTTCTCACATTTTTACTGTGTAACTGGCCAACTGCTTGTGAATTTTTTTCTGTTTTGTGTTTTTATGGGTGCCCATCCTACCACAGCTAACCCCAAGTTTTCATTCTCGAAAGAAATTCACCATTCTCAAGAAAAATTCACTGGAGACTTTTAGACGTTGTCAAATCTCTTGTTTTCAGTGTTTATCCTACCCCTCAAAACATACTCCCGGTGCATGTAGTTTTCTTTAGCATTGCTATGGGAATTTTTTTTTTGATCTTGGAACATCAAAATTAATTTGGAGGGGAGTGGGGGGCTCTGCCCATTGGCCCTTCCCCCTGCTGCTGCTCTTGTGTTACAGCTTAAGCACAAAGTAGCTCTGAGCCTAGTTCTCTCCAGTTATTTAAAATGCCTCTGGCATTCTGTCCATTTAAGCATGAAAATACTGAGATGCCAGTGAGTCTGTACTATGGGACTTGGAGCACTGAAATAATATGGTCCTGCAAGCAGTAGTCTACATGAAGTTGTGTTCCTTTCACGGCAGGGGCAAAATGGCCTTATTGAGTACTACATCCTCCCTGATCAAAACTTCAGCCCGTTCTTCCTGATAGAAGATACGAGTGAGGGGAAAATAATTACAACTGGAAACCTGTCTAGATCTGGAGAGATCCATTTAACAGTGATGGCTAAGGACAAAGGTTCTCCATCTTTAAATGACACTGCTATGATTACTCTTAATGTGTTTGACAACCGTCCATTTGTTCCTCGGTTTGATGAGACTGAAATCAGGTGAGGCTTTCATATTAAGTTACATAGCTGGTACATACTCTCCAGGTAGTGGAAAACACAGTGAAAGTTGAAGCTAATTTTCATATTCTTCTATGGAGAAGAAAAGATATCTGTTTTTTATAAACAGAACGTCCAAGAAATTCTGCTATGCCAGTGGTTCTGTGAATGTGATGTGAGGCATTGCCTTTTATTTCTTTATCACGCACTTGCATAAGCCAGACTCTTTGTCCCTTTCCTCTTGCATACTAATAAAACATTCTTCCCTAGCCTTTACTCAAGGATAAACAAATGTCTGGCTAGAAAAGTGGTCCTTGCACTGCACTCTTGAAAATTAGTGAGCTCTAGCAAACAACTAGAGTGGAGGGGGCAGGATTTTCCATAGAGAACTCGCTCTTAAAGAGTTAAATTTCAAAGCTTGCCAGTGCAACAACTGCTGGGAAATTTAACATTACGATTTACCATTTATTTTTTATATTAGCATTTCCGTTTTGGAAAACACAGGAGTGGATTATTTCATTTACGCTTTTACTGTGGTTGAAACTTTAGGAAAACGGATTGATTATACAGTTGTATCTGGCAATGAAAAAGGTGAGTACTATTTCCCTTGTGAGTTAAAATAGCTAAGATAACAGAATAACCTGTCTTTTGTGGGGCAGATGTTGCTGTACGTAAATGAGGAGGTAGAGAGCAAGGATAAAAATTTGTGTCATTTTTTAAAAAAAAGAAAGTACACAAAGAATTTCTTTCAGAGCTCTTCACCATGGACTTTGTTAATCTTCTTTGTCTAAAGAGGGGGGTGGTAACTTGCTAGAAAACAGGTTCCTGTAGTCTTATGTTAGGATAATCTGCAGGCTGAGGGAGCCAAAATAGAAGTTGTTGTTAGCAAGCAGCTTCCTCCCTGCCGATCACTTTTAGTCTGTCATTTCCTTACACTTGCACCTATGTTAGGGCATCTGCTCTCCTTCAGCTTTTGCAGCTCTACTGTGACTCCATTTGGTGCACAAAAAAGGAAATAATTAGAAACTGAGAGGAAAACTTGGAAATGGGTGAAAAAGGAGTTGTGCAACAAGAAGCTGCAATTCTGTTTTCCAAGTAGGCTGCTTCTTTACATGTTTAAGGCCTGTTTGGTCTGGGATAGGACCCCAGCTGTGATGCCTTTGCTGCTCAGCCAGTGGAAGTGTTGCATTTCATGTTCTTAAGAGCAGAGGCCCCATGGAAGCATCCTAAGAGCAACTAAGACACAAGAGGTAGGAGGGATACAAGTGAAGTGGTAGCTATAACAACGAAGGCGCGTGTTTTGCCTTTCAGGTCATTTTAGACTGGATCCAAAAAGTGGTCAGCTGAGAACAGCAATTAATTTGAACTATGAGGAAGTTTCTCAGTATGTGATTTTAATTGAAGCAAACGAAAATCTCTCACCTGCTGCAGAAGTCCAGCGTTCAGGTAACTTTTTGCTTTGAAGGATATTCCAACTTAAATCAGGGGCAATGAACACATCTTCTGTATTTGCAACCCAATATAGGGGTTATGTAGACTGAAAAGTCTGATGTGAAAGATGAAAAGCTGAAGGTCAAAGTTGTGCAGAGAAAAGCCAGCAGCCTTCCTCCAAGGGTGCAAACCCTTACAGGGCCCTACCGTGGCCTCAGAAAATAATATAATAGCTGGGCATTGGACTCCTCAGCAGGACCTGGAGGAACCTGCCTATCCCTTGCCTGGTACAGCACAGCCAGCTGGAGAGGGCTGACAGAAGAGCAGTGCTTTTTGCCTTGAACTGCCTGCTCTTTCTGAAGCCCCAGGGAGTAGTGAGATAGAGCTCCTCTGGGCACATCCCTGCTGCATTCCCTTTCCTCTCCCTCTTCCTCACATGCAGCAGAGATACTGCTGCAAAGCCACAGTGTGACCCAGCCTTTGAAAGTTGTGCTTTGCTGGCGTTTGTTGTTGAAGTCAACTTGTGTTTGTTTAATAGGCCTCTTTGCTCAAAATGTGGCAATGCTGATGATCTCAGTGCAGGATGTAAATGAAGAGCCAGCATTTTTGAATAATGCCTACTCTGCTCGGATACCGAACTCTGTGCCGTACAAGTACCCGGTTATTACAGTTCAGGTAGAGTATCTTTCAGTGCTCTTCATGAGGACAGAAATCTTTTGAAAGATTTGGATTTCTTCCACAGTTAATCTGGGTTAAAGGAGCTGTTAAATCTTCTTGTGAAAGCTTGAGACAGATGCTGCCCATCATCCAGGTTTAACATAATGGTGGTGAAGGATGGGGTGTTTAGGGAACTGGTCCACACCTGTCCTACCAGTGGGTCTGTCAGAAGAGCTATACAGCCTGTTCTGACTCATGCTGTTGTTATGGATTACATACTGCACAGACTACCGTTCTCCCTTTGGCACCGTTAACCGCTTTGTTATCTATCAGACCCGAAAGGGAAATGAATTACAAAATGGAGCAGTTCTCATCTTTTTCTAAGTCTGGTGTTATCCCTCAGTTCTAGCCTGCTCCTTTTATGCTTGCAGCTGTAGAATCCTCCAGGCTTTATGGTAAATGTATTTCCCCTTTTATACCCTTGGTCTGATTCTGATAGTTTGCACCCCACTTTGTTTAGCACAAAGAGAAAGATGTGACTGCACTATCCTAGAATACTTGTGTCTTACAAATAGAAACTGCAGAGTTTTATGATTGAAGAGTAATGCGCAGCCCAAAAGCCACAAGCTGAGTTTCACAAATCACCTTTTTTAAACACAGGCCACAGATCCAGATTCAGGAGACAATGGACTTCTGCTGTACAGCTTAGTGAATAATCAAACAAATGCATTTGACATCAATGAAAATACAGGGCAGATTTTTACCGTTTCTGTAGCAGGAAAGGCTGGAACATTTTATCTGGAAGTCCAAGCTGCAGACCAAGGCACAAGAAGACGCACGGCCCGGACAACAGTCAATGTAAGGACGATTGCTATTTATAGTCCTGATTGGTTTCCATGTCAAAACTCTGTATACAAGAAGGGCTAGGTTTGGTAATGACAAAAAAATTACTTAACACCACGCAGTGAGACTGTCCGATATACCAGTATTTACTATGTACTTTCAGGTCAGAATTACGAGGTTGCCATTTCCATTGACGTATAAAAACATATTGGCATGAAGACTGACTTTTAGAGGACAATTACTTTATATCAGAGGTTTTGGTGGGTTTTTTGTTTTGGTTTGGTTTTTTTGAAAGTCAATCTACGAGAGGTACAAATGCTTTGGAAAACCTTACATGTGATTTCTTTCTCTATTAGGTAACCATTGATTCCAGTTCCACTAACAACATTGTGGTGGTGGTACTTAATCAGAAGATCAATGTTGTTGAAAGAAACATTGCTGAAGTAAAAAGGTATTTTTGAAACTATGAAGCTTATTCTGATATAATACCTAATGACAAATGTAGAGTCCCTTTGAGACAGGGGTCTGACAGCCTACAGGGGAGGTGATACAGCCGGTGCCCATGAAAAGCTAGGCCTTCAACATGATGTACTTCAGAATAATTTGAGGGAACTCACAGGAATTCACCAGTTTTTACCTGGTAAGGCTTTGGCCTGAGCTGACGAATGTCAAAGAGGTCATTGGACTAGACAATTTTGAGAGGTCTCTTCCCACCTCAATGTTTCTGTGATTTTTAACAGCCTAGGACAAAGTTTTTCATGGATAGTAGGCCCAAGATACAAATGCAGAGACAGACAGGATAGAAGCCACAAACCAAACCCACCTTTGCTCCAGCTGAAAAATGCCCCTTGTGGCACAGCAGCAGAGCTTCTCAAGGAGGTCTCAGCCCTATGGTGCTAGGGGATTAGCTAGTGATGTGTGGATGACCACACTATGGTTAAAAACATATTTTGGCCTTTTTGGCATGTTAATGAAGACACAAGATCTTCTGTCTGATTATACATAAACACATATTTACTTTGGAAATATTGAGTCATGTGCTTTTGAGGGGAAATCACTTTGAAGGCTGGAAAAATGAGTTTGTGATGTTGACACTACTATGGCACCAGTTTCTTGTTCATAAAAATTAAATGGAAACCCTAGAGCTGCTCTGTTGCTTTCTTCGAAGCAACTGGTACTGATGGCTATCAGAATGATGGATTAACTGGGCCAATGGTCTGCTCCAGTGTGAAAATCTCTCTGTGAAAAAGGAGGAGAAAATAATGAGGATTATGAGACTGAATTTCCCTCCTCCCCGGCGTTACTGTTTATAATACTCTAGAGATATCACTGCCTGTATTTATAAAAAATAATGTCAAGTATGAAATGAGCCATATGTCGCTTTGAAAAGCATGACTAAATATATGATACTCTATGCACTATTGGTTATGAAATCAAAGTTATAAGGGTTTGTTAACCCTTCCTTTCTCTAATTAGTTGTTCAGTTATGCTAATGGCACCTATCTTCTAAGAATTTTCAGGCTATGTACAAAGTTATATAGCATTTGCTAATGAAAAGTATCTTTGCTTACCAGTCAGAGACAAGGACTGGGTCGATTTTTTTTTTTTCCCCTCTGCTACTCAATCACGCAAAGATATTGGGCAAATAGCTTAATTCCTTTGCTGATGATAATCCTGCATTTTTACATGCTTAGATTGAAATACTAAATACCTGCAAAGTGTTGTATTAAATACTACTTTTCTATCTTTTAATTTCCAGAGTAAAAGAATTTGTCATTACCCAGTTAATTTAACATGTTTTCTTAATATGATGGCAGGGTCCTGGAAGATAAACTTGCATGGAACATATACATCATTAATATTTATTCCAATGAGTTTGAAAGAAAAGCAAGAAGCAGCACTGATGTAACCTATGTAAAAATGACTGCTTTTGATGAGGCAAACCAGGAAATATCTGCAGAAGATGTAAAAAGGTCTGTATGGTGCAGTCTGTCTTTTGGGTGTCAGAGCTATGCAGCTAGGTTTTTCTCTCCCTTAAAATTATTTATGTCTTGGACTGGATAAGTTTAGATCAAATAACAGTTTATCTGAGACTTATCTCAAGGCTTAAATGGAATTTTTAGAATTCAGAAAGCTTTCATTATTTATTGACAGGTAATTTTCAGAGTTTGTCAAAAACATGAATAAGGCTGTTTAATTGTGCAAAATATATTTAAAAGTCAGTTTTATAGAAAATTGAAGTAGAAAGAATATCATTAAAATAGATACTGACTTCACTTCAGAATTGCAGAATGGTGATTAAAAACATATATTTTAGGTGTATTTTACATTTGTTTAATAACGTGACAGGGGTATGAATGCATATTCTTATAAACATTCTATGAAGGGCAGCTGCTATTTAAACACGCGATTTCTAGGCTCAACACCTCTCATAAGCTAGTAGTTGTTTGTGGCTGATACTACTAATGGAGTCTGTAGTCACAGGAAGCAGTCTGCATGGATGGATCTATTTCTCTGAGGAAAGCACTATTGGTATCTGTAGGGCTATATGCAGCTGCCTTGATGTGGATTTAGAGGATACTGACCTCTCAAGCTCAATTTTCTGAACTTTGCAGCATTTTAATTCGTAAGCACCAGGCCTGGTTACTAGAAAACAGAGTTTTTCCTGAATGAAAGGCATGACAAGTCTGAATCTTCAGAAAAGGTCTTGGTGGATGAGGGAGTGGTATTCTGTTGTCTTCTTCACCACTCTTCAAGCCAAAGTGAAGGTCTGATAAATCATCAGCATTTTACTCTTCTATCTTCAGAAAACTTAGGGAGCAAAAGAGTAACATTGAGATAGAACTGGAGAAAATATTTTCAACGGCTGTTACTGCTGCCATAGAAGAGGCTCCTGCTAACTCAGCAACTCCTGAACTCATCACAACGATTGTCCTCAGTGTTCTGCTAGCCTGCACCCTCACAGCCTTCCTGGTATACGTACGTTTTACTATAAAAAGGAAAAGGTACAAATAGTTTTACTTTAACAATGTAATTTCGACTTACAACTAATAAGTTTACTTTAAATGTCAACTTGAAAAATACTTATCTGATAAATTACTGATGTTTGCATGGCGTACTGCCTAAGATTTGCTATAAATCAAAGTGCCTGGCATTGTACTGTAGATATTAGACACACTACATGTAACCGACAGTTGGTTTCTTCTTATGTTTGTCACACAGCAACAGGAGAAACAAATACTTCTAAAAGCACAGGGAAATGTGGATAGCAGAAATTTTAAGTGTGAAGGGGGGCTCAAGTAGTTGTAATATACCCAAAGAAGTCTTCTCTAACCCCATGAATGCTGAAATCCCCATGAATGCTGAAATCAAGGGAGGTTTTGCTGCTAACTTCAGTGGCAGCAGGACCACAGAGTAGGGGAAAACAAATGTATTTCCAAGAGGGCAGCAGGCATTGACCCTGTTACCATTACATAAAAATAGGAAATACTCCAAACTAATCCCCAGAATAATACTGAAAATAAATGTTGTGGATTAAACTTCTGACACAAATACTTCATATTCTGTTTTTAAAGCAACTGTAAAGCCAATCTTCAAAAAGAATTAACAATTTCATTTTAATGTATTTATCATTTTCAGAAAGTATGAGCAACGGTATTTGGTTAAGAAGCGAGCTGAAATTATGGAGGGTATTGATAACCCTGTGTGCAACTGACAAAAATGGAAGTCTGAAAAGCTTAGAGAAACTAAAGCACGTGAATAATCTGGAAGTAGAATGCTGATACCACAAATTTATAAAAAATAGCTTATCAAAAGAGGTGGTTCTAGTTTATTCTGGTAACATAGGATTTTCCATGTATCTTTTCACTGGTGTATAGGTTGATTTTTAAGAACCCTTACAACTGTAAGTTTAAAAACTCTACACTTGGAGGAAGCTAATACCTTTTAATCTTGTATCGAAAATTTTACAAGGGCAAATTCCTACTTAATCTTTAGCAAATTGTTAAGCCTTATGGAGAAAAACCCCTTCAGGATACAAGAAGCTACTTAACATTCCCCTAGGTAAAATCCCAGTAATTTTGAGATCAGTTTACATGCTGCTCTCAGTTTTAGAGAGGCTAAGATTTTTGTCACTTAACTATTTGCAAGCTCAAGGTGTTATGAATTCTCTGAACTCTCTTTCAGGAAAACTGGAATAATGGCGTTTAGCAATGTGGAAGACACCAAAGGAGGTGCTGCTGACAAAGATGAATTTCAGGATGATGAAAGCCCTGAGACACTAGATTGCAACAGTGAACATGAAGAAAGTGTAGCATCTGAAGAAGCCGCTGAACCTAGAAATGAAGATGCCCAACCCACTGCAGAATTCACAACAAAACAGGTAATTAGCTTTTCAGTTGCAAAGAATGGCGTGAAGGATATTTTATCATTATTCATGAAATAACTGGAAGAATTATCAAAAAAAGTAAACTTGTGATGGAACTAGGAAGAAACCCAAATCTTACATGAAGTAATGAAAACGCCTGAGGAGGAGCTGTGTTTGTCCCTGCTTAGAAGAAGGAGAACTTTGTGATCCAGCGAAGAATGGTGACCATCTTTTACAGAATGGGTAGAGAAAAGGGTTCTCTCATGCGTTGCTGCTAAATCTTGCAGCCTTGAAAGCGACGCTTTCTTTGTAAGCTTCAAGTTATAAAAGTTATACAACTTCTGCTGCTTGGAATTTGTCCACAATCCAGCATTTGTAGCTTTCTGTCTCCTCATCTGTGTTACGTTTTCTTGCAGGATTGCTTTCTGACAGATACAAAGGATGAGTTGGCTCTTTCCTTAAAACCTGATCCCACAACGCACACCCCTGAAAAAGAACTGAAAGGAGTAACATTTTCAGAAGTGGCGATTATTTTGGATGCAGAGTGTGAAGGTGATGAGCCTGATGATAACTATGTATTTTTTCATCAGTAAGAATGCTTGACGAAGAAGACTTTTAGGAAAACCACAATGACACTCACTGGAACACTACAGAATTAAGTGAGCAATAAGAATATGGGAATGCTATCCAGATTTTAATTCCTGCTACTCCTGTTGTTCGTGCTGTAAGCGATGGACAGGGAAGAAAATCAGCAGTAGGCTGGAAGGGCAGCAGCACGGTCATAACGCAAGGTTACTTCCCCAGATGCGCCGTTATCTTACGGTGTGTTCAACTTCCTATGGCATGCGTACACTGGCAAGACAATAAAACCGATTCCAACTGTGACGCCTTGTCATTATTTTAGACGAAGTACTTCTCGGACATCAACCTTCTCCTCTTTTGCACAGAACCCACCGCCGGGGTTATTTTTTTGAAAAGGAGTGACTAGCTATTTCCTACTTACACGCTGCCTTTCCTCCCCGCCGAGGGCCCCCCCCCCCCGCCCCCCCGCCGGGCGCTGCAGCCACCCACCCGCAGCCGGGACCCGCCGCCGGAGAAGGAGGAGGAGGAGGAGGAGCTGGCGACCGGCCCGCAACAAGTGAGAGGGGGGTCTCGGCAGGGGGGCTGCCGCCTCCAGGGGCGCAGCCGGCGGCTCCCTCCTTCCTTCCCGGCGGGGGGTGTGGGAGGAAGGGCGGCGCGGCCTCGCCTTCCTCCTCCTCCTCCTCCTCCTCCTCCTCCTCCGGCGGGGAGCGAGGAACGGGGGAGGGGAAGTTTCTGGCACCTTCTGGCTGGGTCGCCGGCGGGCGGAAGCGGTTGGGCTGCCGGCGGAGGCGGGC